TAGCATAGTCTAGAATGAAAAGATATATCTAGCTAGAGGTTTATGTTGGTCAGTCTGGTAGCAGTGCAACTGGCCTATATATGGCCACCTGACTTAATTTTCTATCTGGTCATTCTGAATCTTTCATTTCCCTCACACACCTGATATTGCGGTTCAGGTGTATTCATAAGCTTCATTTCACTTCATTTCGCCCACAAAATATAGTCAATTCAAATTACAGTACATTCTGTGAAGTGCTTTGAGACAAATCGAAGACGTGATAAGGCGCTATATCAAATGCAAGGATTATTATTACATTGTTAAGCTTCTCGTCTACATGCCTCTCTGCAAATTAAAAACAATAAATACAACTTTCCTTGAAGTACAATCATTGTGTTGTTTAATTTCACCGTCAATCCTCAAATACACCACACATGGAATTGTCACTGGCTTAACAATGGAGAAGGGGGGGATAGTGGGCGGTCTGTCGTGGGATTCATTAAGAGTAACTGATAAGGAATCCTACCATTAACATGTCACGGACAATTGTTGGGAACTTTGTGATTTAATTCCAGTGCTTCAGAGCAGAAATCTTGAGTGTGCCATGGTTTTCTCACAGAGTGCCTCTCTTCTGTGACTGACTTTCCATGTCCCAGATTCTTGCTTTCTCTGTGTCTCTATTTCTCACTCTCTTTTTCTCTCTCTCTCTCTCTCTCTCTGGGTCTTTGACACTTTCACAGTCTCAATCTCTGCTGTGAGAATATGGAATGCACTGCCCAAGAAGGGTACAGATGCAGAATCAAATGGGATTATTTAATAATAATAATAATCTTTGCATTTGATACAGCGCTTTTCACGTCTTCTAGACGGCTCAAAGCGCTTCACAGAATATGTTGTAAAGTGAATTGACTGTATATTTGTGGGCAAAACGCGGCAGCCAATTGCGCACAGCAATGTCCCACAAATAGCCGTGGATTGAAAATGACCAATTTATTATTGTTTTTGGTTTTGGAGGATTATTATTAGGCTCTGTGTGGAGTAAGGAAACTTGCCCAAGGTTTCGCCCTCTGCCTGGAATTGAACTCAGGTCTCTCACTTGCAGAGCGAGTGCTCTAACACTGAGCTACAGGACTCCACATAAAGGGAGATAGATACATCAGAAGCAAGGAATATGGATATAAATTTATAGTAGAAAAAGCTTGCTAAACTAAATGTTCCTCTGTTCCTAATAGTCCCAAATTGTTCCTGCACTAATTAATGATGTTGAACTTTTTTGAAACAGCTAGAAATAATTTTACAACGAGTTGCAGCAAGACATCAGTTTATATGAGTCGGTGAAGAGTTAAATACATTCAGTGGATGGCTAAGCACTGCAAAGAGGAATGCCAAGGAAGGTCCTAGCTAGGATTCTTTGTCCTCTGCCTTTCTCTGTCCATAGAAATTCATGGAGTGTGCCTCTAATTCCTCCTGTCATTGACAGCAGCAAGAATTTACGCAGACTTTCATCTTCATTGGCCTCAGTCCAAAACCATTACCCTCTCAGGGGCAGTTAGAAGCACTTCGATAGGGTAAACAGTGCCTCACATTTCCCCTAGAGGAAGGCAATTCCCAACTCGGAACCAGAGCAATGACCAGAGCGATTGGCTTTTTGCAGCGTTCCATCTATCAGCGAGGCGTCTGCTGCCAGCTTTTCTCCTTGGGCCTGGTTACCAAATTCATGCCCAGCTGAGCCCTGTCCCAAGAGGCTGTCCTGCACCTTGAGCTTGAGTCCCCAGAGTGAGCGATGATCAGGTGCTGGAAAGACAGCAGACACTGGAGTAATTCTCTATTATCTCTCATCACACACACGCACGCGGACACATAGAATGCTTAACAGACTTTACATTACACAGTCCCTCATTAGTTTGATATGTAATGGGCGCATCTTAATGAGGGAATATGTACTACCAAAACAGCTGATCTTCTTACTAATGACTAACAGAATGGCTGTCAGTTCAAGGGTGAAAGGAAGATGTCACTGAATGTGACCAATGCTAATTTCTCCAAAAGTCTTAGTGACCAAACCTGATTTTCCACTTTGTATCATCGATGCCACATCTGCTCAGGTCACTGATATATTTGTGTGATGAACACATAAAATTTACCAAACAGATGGAACTTTGGTTTTAACGTAGGTATTTGTTTGTTCTCTTGTCTACTTGAACAAAGGTCATTTCCACCCCTCAATTTTCCCCCATCTTCTAGAAATGAGTCATAGGAACAGGATTAGGTCATTCAGACCCTCAAGCCCATACTGGGACTGAAGATACTGTTCTTTGGGTACCAGTAGCCCTCTGGTATCTTACACAACTGGCAAATTCTCCTTGAGTCAGCGTAAAGATGCAGTCAGTGATTTAAATGAGGTAGAGGAAAGGGAACGATTACAGATAGGGCCTGATGCCGTGTCCAACTGTTCAACACATTGTACTTTCAAGAAGTAGAATAGGGAGGATAATGGGCAGTAATCAGTCTGGGAGTTGATATAGCGCCTTTAACACTGAAACATCTCAAAACACTGAAACATCTCAAAGCATCTCAGGCAAATCCTGTCAAGAACAGTGATGGTGTATTTGTAGGCAGATGTGGCAGCTAATTTGCACCCAGCGCTCCTGATGTTGGTCATGCACCGGTGCTGTCCGTAAGCGACTGTACTTCAGGTGTGAGGTTTGACACACTGTGGACGGATATTTGACCGTGGTTGAAGGGAGTTAATCACAGGAAAACTCAATCCTATCCTCTCCCAACATTAAACACAGCTTTTGCGTGTGATTTGGGGGTTGGTCGGGGGGACACTCTGGTTTGCAATCAAGTGGAGGACACCCCAGCTGATTTACACCTCAGGCATTTATTTACTGAGATCAGCCAACTCGAAACTTTCAGTTGTTTCGGTTTTATGGACACTATATCAACTACAGGAATCAAACCCAGATCTTCCTGTACAGATCTGTTCAGCTCAGTTTCGCAATGAACAAAGACTCACCAACTGAGCCACTGCTGAAAGCCAAAGCAATTCACTTAATAGATCCTTAAATGGATATACAATGTACGCGAACAAATTAATCAATAAGGCTTCAATTCTCAATCGCTTCTTACTGCTGTCTGCTCATAGCTTTAATTACTGGTACATTATCCTTGTGGACAATGCTCATGGATTATTAACTGGAAGTTTAATTAGGATGAATGACCGGATCGCACCAACCTTCCACAATCTTTGTCATTTAGACCTTTTAAAGAGATCATCAGAAAGCTGCTACCTTGTAGAGACTACATTAAAAGGTTGTTTATTTTGATGTGCTCGACAAGACCAACTCTGTGAAAGATGGGTGCTGACCCTTTCCTGCCAGTTCTGATGCATTAACGTGACACGCTTTGTCTCAGAGAGCTGCTGTACGGACAGTGTTGAGCTGAGTGTGATACATATAAGAATAATCCTTGCATTTGAAATCACGCCTTATCACATCGTTGAGACGTCTCAAAGTGCTTCATTGTAAAATGAATTGACTGTCTTTTTGGGGTGAAACAGGGCAGCCAATTGCGCACAGCAATTGTCCCACAAACAGCCATAAGTCGTGTGACCAATTCTATGTATTTATTTATTTGTTTGTTTGTTTATTTTCATTTGAAAAGATCAGCCACCGAAGCAATGGGGGTAAAATTAAACAGACGATTAGAAAGATTCCACAACCCAGTCCGTAGCTTTTCCTTTCCACTTGAACTTTGCTTTCACATAAAAGTAATGTTGGGGTCAGTTTAGCAATACATTTGACAGAGTATCCCCTGGATGTGCTGGAGGTGAATCCCTCACCTAATTCTCAATGCTGATATCAGTACTTATTAGAAGGGAAATTTAATCAAATGACTTTAGGAGAGGAGGAGCAAGGAGGGAAATTAACAGTGAAAGTTATTAAGAAGACCCAGAACTTCCTTTGGATTTGTTGAGTAGACAAAAAACATAGGTCATTTGCATACAAAAAGAGAGGAAGGTGCAGCAGCAGCAGATTAAAGGCTGAATCTCACCTCTGCAAATGCTAATCTCTCGAGATGTTCATTTAAATGGGTCCGCTTAACATTTCATTATGCAATAAGTGCTCATGTGCAAATGTCACTGCTCCTGCCCTTGCAGAGTGAGCACTCCCACACCTCACCTGAGATACTGCACTAGTGGAAAAACCTTTGAAGAGACAGACAATGTCTAGTTTATTGCCAACTAAACCGGATAGAGGCTTCATATTTCATTTACACAGCGGTGGAGGCAATGGTTGAAGTCGATGGGAAACTTACACCATAAACTTTGTCACGCTATGGCATGTGACTTCTGAGTGACAGGGAGGACAGGTGAGAGATCTGGACACCAAGCAATGACGACATCAAAGGCACAGGTGACAAAATCAAGATGGGTATCAGCAGTAACCAGACTATGTCCTTCCTTCACAGTAAGTCAACTGTTTTGCCCATCTCCATACAAAGCTTCGAGCAACGAGCAAAGGAATCGTGTTTTACCATTGCATGTGTGTGTGTGTGTGCGCGTGTGCTTTTATAATTTTTATTTACTTTTGAAAATCAGGCAGACCCACAAGACAGAGTTAACGAGCAGCTGTGTGGCTCACCTACCAAGTTAAGGCCGTGGCTTTAAAATAAGGTACGTAACAGGGGCATAATTTTGAATTTAATCGGCCTTCAAAAGTCAAAAGAATCCACCAGGATTCAAAACCAGATCCATCTAGAGCCTGGACCCCTTGTGGGAAAATGAATGTAACTAGACTTCAAGTGAGGACTGGATTGCCCTGAGCTGCAATGGTCCCTGTGGTCAGTTGGCTATCGACACTCACTGGTCAAGCGCACCAGCCAACAGTGTTCCTGTGAACAGAAGTCACAGTGTAAGTAATGAGTAGAATACTTGCTCCATTCACACAGGACAGTGGCTTTTGCTATTTTTTTGAAAATAAACCTGGAGCATTCTGAATCAATTACCTCAGGAGGTGTAGCATATGTAAGCCCTCTTAAAGCCATAGCGCCACTCATTAGGGGATTTCTGGACAGACTCGGGTTGTCAGATCCGAAGGACCATCTGTTTGCCTGTTGGCCTCCCCTTCTCTCTGCGCCTTTGCCCATCTGGTAGGGTGTGGCAACTCTGCCAAGGTTAAAGCAGACTCCTCTTTGCAATGCTCTGGTTTCCTTTGAGTGTTGTTTCTCTATGGTCCATTCCTTGAATGCACCTGTGCTTGTCATTCCCCCAGCTTCTCTCTCTCACTCTCTTTCTCTCCGACTCACTCGTTCTCCACCAACCGCTCAGCTTTCCAAACACCATCAAGAATAGTCTTCAGATCTGCAATGTTGAGCTCGTAAGAACTGATCAGAAACAAAAATTAGTAAATAATAATAATACTAACAATAATCCTTGCATTTGATATAGCGCCTTATCACGTCATTGAAATACCTCAAAAGTGCTTCACAGAATATTCTGTTCACGTCTCTCCAGCTCACTTGTTCTCCACAGACTTTTTAGCTGTAACAAAGGAACATTCCCTTATGGATCCAGACATGATCTTGTGAAGCACACAGACAGTTTCAGCAGGCAAAACCTACACAAAATGTGGAACTGGCCAACTTTGTTCAGTACATCCCCACTGATCTGAAGATTACACTTGTATTACATCAGGTAATGCAGGTATAAGTGCTGGCACAGAGATAGCTTCATTTCTTTAACTTGCGTCTCAACAACAAGAACAACAAATAACATTGAAATAGCGTCATTCGTGTCGGAAGGACGTCCCGAGGTGCAGGACAATGAAGGGACCTTAACAGTCTTGATGTCCTGCTTGAGGTGGCAAAGGAAGGTTGGCATTCATAAGGTTAACATGGCAAAGAAAGGGAATGAATGCCTGAAGTGTGGAAGGAGCGAGGCGAATGCTTAGAGAGTGGACTTCTGCCCAGCTGGTCCCACATTCCCCCTGGGACAGACCCATCGATCAGGCCTGCAGCTCTGTAGTTAGGTCTCTGAGGGCCATTGTGATGTCTACCCGGCAAGTACATCTGTGTCTCCGTATCACTCAACATCATTAATCAAACTACAACAGATACCAGCCTCAGAGAATGCACATTATCACCTCTGTTTTCCGTCTGTTTTAATTATTCTCTCAGTTGGAAGCCAACGCAAACACACACAGAAGCCAGCCCATTGTCAGCAGCTCAGCATGAGGCTCTTATGGCCTCAGGTCATGACCTGGCCAAACTGACAGAGACATCTTCTGACCTTTTTTTTAATCTGTCCGCTTCACAAGTCCATGTGGTTCTGTCATGGTCAATTGTGGTATCCCGTAGAGTAGTGGTTAGAGCGCTCGCCTCACAAGCGAGAGGACCTGGGTTTGATTCCCAGACATGCCAAAACCTTAGGAAAGTTTCCTTACTCCACACACGTGCCTCTGTTTACCTAGCAGTAAGTAGGAACCCGGTTGTTAGTCGATTGACGGATCAAAAAAATAATAATTTGATCACTCAATCCACCCACGAGTGTTTGTGGGACGCTGTTTTGCACAATTGGCTGCCGTGTTTCGCCCGCAAAATATACATTCAGTTCACTTTACAGTATATTCCGCAAAGCGCTTTGAGACGTGTCGAAGACAGGTTAAGGCGCTACATCAAATGCAAGGATTATTATTATCATTATTATTATTAATACGCATTTCACAGGACCCAGAATTGGCGAGAATGTTTGTCCTTACAGTAGGTGGATGTTTGGCTAAGTTTACACCATATGGTCAGCAGTGTAGCTGACGGTAGCCAAATATGCATTTAGCAAAGATGTCTTCGGTAATGTAAATCATGTTGGGGGCCTCTCTCCCAACTGCTTAGAGGAGCTTCTTGTTATAAATACGCAGCTGTAATCATATTGGGCACATTCCCTTGTTCTTCTAGAGTTAAGGCAAGTGACAGACAGGCACTTGCTCTGAAGAGGGCTCTTCTTGGGAGAGAGAGAGCGCATGCCTGACTTAACAAGAGTAAACTGTGGGGAAAAAGAAGAGTGTGGTAATGATCCCATGTATATACACAGGAGTTCTTTTCAATCATAAGTGGTTTCTTTCCCCAGTGAAACAGTCGCCTGGCAATCTGCGAGACCCATGGACTAACAGAAGTCATGCCGCCTGCGATAACTATATTATCTCTTGCCAACATACGTTGCCAAAAGACATCACGTATATTTCGGAGTAAATGTCATTGGCTTCATTAAGACCCTCAGAGTAAGTAGGTTTCCGCTCTGCCACTGTTTGTCTGATGGAAATATTTGCCACTTTTAAACCCATCTATCACCAATCATGTTTGTTTTATATTTTGCAATGTGATTTAACTTTTTAATGTAATAATCCCTTTAAATAATAATTTGGTCACTCAATCCACGGCTGCTTGTGGGACGCTGCTGTGTGCCATTGGCTGCCGCGTTTCGCCCACATAATACATTCAATTCACTTTACAAAATATTATCTGTGAAGCGCTTTGAGAAGGCTCTCAATGAAGTGATAAGGCGCTGTATTAAATGAGAGGATTATTATTATTTGGCACAGAGAGATAACATTGATAATTTGAGGGAGATGCAGCCAATGCAAGTTATGTATTTGATTAATTCTCAGGGATAAAATGAGACTTGCCAAATTGTGGCCCGGTATAATTTTAACCAATTGTGTGTGTGCTGATACCACACTGCAGGGTTTCTGGAGGCACTGTTTAACCTAGACCTCTCCTGAGGACAGCATCTGAGACTGCGGTTACACACCACAGGCCTTCGAACCCACACACTGAAGCTGAATAGAGTCATCTGCAGACATTTGACAGAATAATTGATAAGAGTTATTAATTGATTCCCCACCATCCGAAGCAGTTGACACAAGAATACTTTAGAAGACTTTAATAATTAATTCACTTTGCACAGAGGAGAGTTATCATTCATTGAATCATTGAACCAAAAGTCAGGAATTAGAGATGCCCCACCATAAGACTGTTAACTATCGGATACAAAGATTACTGTAATATCATTGCTAATAATCCTTGTATTTCATAGTCTTATACATCGCTTCACAAAGCACATTGTAGAGTTAAAGTGTAGCGACTGTTTTTTTTTGTTCGCTCGCAATTGGGCTGCCGCGTTTCACCCACAAAATCCACGGTCAATCCATTTTGCAATGTATTCTGTGATGCACTTTGAAACGTCTCAACAAAGTGATAAGGCGCTGTATCAAATGCAAGAATGATAGAATTATTGACTTGTTGGTGCTGTATCTAAAGTAAGGGATTGGACTGGATTCCAAGTAACCACTGGATAATTTGTGTTTGGGAGGAGCAGGAAACTAAGGGATGAATCCGGTTGTTAATCGATTGGCAGATCGGTTTTCCGGGGGTAATAATTCCTCCAACCTTCAAAAAAAAATACTTTGGTCACTCGATCCACGACTGTTTGTGGGACGCTGCTGTATGCAATTGGCTGCCAAGTTTTGCCCACAAAATACATAGTCAATCCACTTGACAGTATATTCTGCTAAGCGTTTTGAGACGCCTCAGTGATAGGCGCTGTATCAAATGCAAGGATTATTATTATTATTATTATTCCTTCTCAAATCCAAGATTTACCCTTCCCACTCACAGCCACACAGAACGGATTCTGATATCAGAAATGTGCAATTGTGGAATTTTGAAAGCATCAAAAGTGCTGCGGAATAAATACATTCTTCAGCGCATTCCATGTTCTAAAACTTCGCTTCTTTACACTTTTCCTGTTAAGAAATCTGTTCAGGATTACCGCAAACTAGACCCCGCTTATATGTTTCACCTTCAAGCGGGTAAGGTCAAATGAATCGAAACTTCAAAAAAAAAATCTGAAAATATTATTATTTATTATACCTTTTTACGAAGCGGAGGCCAGGGGAAGGAAGAAAGTTGTTTGGAAAATCACTCAATAGAAAAGGTATCAAAATCCGCCTTAACCGATGCATGACTAAAGCCTAAGTCCCCTCTAATCAGAATTCGCTTCCACGCAGCAAATAAAAAGGCTTTGCGACGCTTATCTCTGTTTCTGCTTGGCACAAAGGTGACGGGGAGCCAGTCACACTGGGAGCTCTGTAACTCCACATCACAGTTAATCTATTCAGTCGCCTGAAGCATCCGTGATTTGGAATGTGCCGCGATCATGATAATCCATGTAATTAGAATTGTACAATTAGATATCTGATTGCTCTCTTTCTCATTCGCATGATAGGAAGAATTGTTAATGACATCTGCCCTCCCACACACTGCAGCTCCATTTCATTTCATATCATTACCCCTCAGGCTACAAGTAATTAAACTTTCATTGTACCTTTAGTGTACAGCAGCTTGTCTCGTGCTCAGCCCCACTTCCCTCTGCTCTGTGGAAAGAAAACTACTTTCCTCGCCATATCGTTTCATCTTTCCTCGCTGAATAAACAACCCTAAGAACGGAATTCAAATCCCTCTGAAATCTGGCAATCGGACCTGGATTCCAAAGGAGGAGTTTTTCATTGCTTTGAAAGGAAATCTCATTTATTTTGTGGTGGACACTCACACACAAGCGCACATTTGCACATATATACATAATAATAATCCTTGCATTTGATATAGCGCCTTATCACATCGTCGAGACGTCTCAAAGCGCTTCTCAGAATATACTGCAAAGTGGACTGACTCTACATTTTGTGGCCGAAACGCGGCAGCCCAAATTGCGCACAGCAGCGTCCCACAAACGGTCATTGACCACATGTTTTTTTTTGAAGGGATTATTATCCCGGGAAAAGCGTTCCCCCAATCGACCAACAACTGGGTTCCTACTTACTGCTGGGTAAACAGAGGCGTGCGGAGTAAGGAAACTTGCCCAACGTTTCACCCTGCCCGGGAACCGATTCCAGGTCCTCTCGCTTGCGAGGCGAGTGCTCTAACCAGTATGCTATAGGACTCCACAAACACAGATTCATTATATATGCACATACATAAGCAAACACACATACACGGACATAAACAAACCCATATGCACATAAATATCATTGTACCTTTTGCTCCCTGAGATATCAGTGCTGAATATACTTGATCCAGCAGGGGTCATAACTCTGACCACTTGGTCCAGCCTTTCCAGGTCAACCACAGCCCAGGTATGGAGAAAAGGCTTCTTTTACACTATCCCTACAAAACATCTCCTTCAGACCTGAAGTGAGCACGGCTACACATTCGTGACTTTCCATACTAAACAGCAAGTATCTTTGTGATTTCTCTCACTGATGTCACTTACTTTGAATTGGTTTGAGGTGACGGCAGTCTGGTTCAGTTGGCAGCACTCCCTTGGTCAGAACGCAGTGGATTTAAGTTCCAAATTGGGACTTGTTGCCCATTGTTTTAAGATGGCATTCCTGTGTAGTATTGGGGGAGTGTTTTATTGTCAGAGGTGCAATCCTTCGAATGAAATATTAAACTGAGACACTATTGGAAAAGCGGAGGGATGTTTCTTCTGGTGTCCTGGCCAACAATCCCTCTGTGTGAATTCGTCATTCACTCCATGGTTATTTGTGGGAAACTTGTGGGTGAAGTCAATGCTTGTGTTTGCCCACAAATACAGTCACTACACTTGACAGCAGCTACCTGTGAAACAAATTGAGATGTTTGACGTTAAAGGCGCTGTGTCAAAAGCAAGGATTATTTTATCAAACACTAGGAATATCATTGTCATCAATTTATTACCAATCTTATCTTGCAGTGTACCCAGTGCGACCGAGTGAGTCAATCAAGCGTTTGCCTTCTCTGCGGCAGTTTCCGCGTGAAGGAAGAGGAGCATCAGCTTATGCTTAGCTGGGTTGAAATAATAATAATAATAATAATGCCTGGAATTGAACCCAGGTGTCTCGATTGCAAGGCGAAACTGCCCTGAACTAATTCAAAAAGGGAACTTCGAGCCTAGATAAAGGTGACTTTACTCCGATCAGCCTGGACTGGATTCAAATCAAGGTCCCAGAGGTTAAAAAGCGGGTGTTACAAATGACTGAGTCACCCAGTCTCGTATATTAATATTCCATGAGAACTCTGATAGCACAAAAACATTTCAAAGTGCCAAAACACAATATCGCTTTTGAGGCATTTCAAACCAGCGGAGGGATTAAAATATTTAATGAGCGATTTAGATAATTAAATTTCAATTGTTTGGGAGGAAGGCATTTTACAAGCAAAACCGATCTAGATCCGGCTGTGAAATTAATCCATCCTGACTATGATAAGCCCTTATTCATGCTGGTAATCAGATAATTCAGTGCCAATCGAGTTAGTAAAGGGCAGATATGTTAAATAATCTCAACAGTTTTAATCAGGATTTACTCAGTGTTTCTTTGGCACCTTTAGTAATGTTAAACAGTGTAGTGCTTTAACAAGTGCCCTTCTCTGGGAGTGTGAGAAGACGGAATGTAACTGCATCGCTAAGTGCTCAGTGTGTCCTGTGGCCTCACACCGCACTGGCTGCTGTGAGCAACTGTTTGAAGTTCACTTGATCTGCCGTGGGATGCGATTGATGAATAATTTGGTTTGTTGATGTGCGGGGACCTTCTGATGCTCCGCTTCCTTCACACGGAAACTGCCGCAGAGAAGGCAAACGCTTGATTGACTCACTCGGTCGCACTGGGTTCACAAAGCTCTGGCTTCGTCACTTCATCCTGTTGAGGTCGAGTAAATAAATGTCAAAATCTCAGAATTATTTTTGCTCGAGTGAGGAAGTAAGTGAGGTCACTGTGGGATTGAATTGGTTCCATTGTGAAACGCCACCCTCCCCCAGCTAAGTCCAGAATTTGATCCAGTGGCGTAACTTACATTGGTGTAAGTGGTGCAGTGTTGCCAGGGCCCACAAGGTTATGGAGCCCAACCAGCTTCCCCCAGAAGTTATTCCCAAGGTGTACAGTCCTCTGGCTACTGCAGAGCACTGCGTACAACAACAACAACAACAGCAAATTACACTTGTATAGGGCCCTTCACGTTGGAAAGGTGTCCCAGGGCGCTGGACAGTCAGGGATTTTTTAGACCCGAGCTGGAAGTTGGGGTCAGGAGGGCAGGGCGGGTTGGGGATGGGAGTGGGAGGGCGGCCGAAGGTGCAGTCGAAGAGGAAGATGTTTAGACGAGACTTGAAGGAGGCAAGAGATGAGACAGTTGTATTAGTATTAGTTATCGTGACATGGGGGGGGGGGGGGGGGGGCTGATCCCAGTGTTGGAGAAATGAGTCTTGAGATGGAAGATGGTGGGTTCAAGCCCCACATTGGAACTACATATTCTACTTCCCCACCCACTTCCACCCCAGAAGGATAGTCACTAGTTGGTTATTAGACGGCCAACAATGCAGGAGTGAGCCCTCACTCAGTGAAAAGCAGATGCCAGGGACTCCTTACTGATGGAATACTCTCACCAAATAGACCATCTTACACACCAGACAACATGCAGGCTGGAGTAGGTTACACACAGGATAATGCACAACATCAACTTGCATTTACACAACGCCCTCACGCAAAGGGTAGCGTCCCAGAGCGCTCGACAGTGACAGAGCCCGATGCTGAGCCGGGGGTGGGGGAAGTGGCTGTAGGCACAAGCCGGAATGTGTTAACAGTGGAGTCTTATACGTGGGAACAGCACCCGGTCTGGTGTGTGTTACTTGTCTATAAATGTATGTTTCTACAGATTTAACTCTACGCCTCCGATCAAAACTTAAGACTATAAGCTGCAATTTGTAGGTAGCAGGCTGAGGGTTAAATGTTAACTAAGCAATACATCAAGAGCAGCTGGACTGATTATGAGGACGAGCTTCATTAATGGTGAAGGGCTGAATGGCAGATGTACTGCATAGTAATAAGTGATGGCAATGGAATAATTTTGGACTGGTTAGAATTCTGATCATTTGACTCCTAATTAATCAAAGTGCCAACATTTCTGAGCTACGTTCTGAGCCCTTGCATGCTGAAATGCGGCATATCAGGGAAGCAGGAGAAGACATCATTAAGCAATGCAAGTTTTACAGTCACTACACTTGATAGTAATTACTGTAAAGAGCTTTAAGGCAATTTGCAAGTAAATATAAAGTTGCATAATATGTATAATAATAGTTGTGAGACTAGGGTCGTACAGTGAAAGAATTCAATACTGTTTGCGGACTTTTGATTTTGAGGAGTATGTGTGTTGTGGAGCATACCTTCTGCCGTGTGAGCAATCAGCAATCCCCCCAGTGTGACTCTCTGTCATTATAATAATAATCCTTGCATTTGATATAGCGCTTTTCACGTCTTCTCAACGTCTCAAAGCGCTTCACAGAATAGACTGTAAAGTGAATTGACCGTATATTTGTGGGCGAAATGCGGCAGCCAATTGCGCACAGAAGTGTCCCCACAAACAGTCGTGGATTGAAAATGACCAATTTATTATTGTTTTGTTTTGGAGGGATTATTATTAGGCGTAAGGAAACTTGCTCAAGGTTGCTTCCGTCCAGCACTGACTGTCCTTTCATTTGGTTATCAAATTCAGTCCTTGCACTTTATCGATACGAGGAGAGCAAGTTCCCATTCAATACAGCCCTGGGCTATACACCGGTCATAAAGTAAGCTCGACACATCACCGCAGAACAGGCAGACAGGACCTCAGTTTAAACATATCATTCAAAGACATTACGCACAACAGCAGAACTCCCCAACAGCTTTGTGAAAATCCACTTGCTATTTTCATCCACAAACAGCCATGAGATGAACTGCTAATAATCTGTTTGCTGGCCAGGACACTGGGAGAAACTTTAATTTTTAATGTCTACCTGAACAGACAGATAACTCATTTATGTCTCATCTGAAGGACAGAACTTCCAACAATGCAAAGGACCCCTTAACCTTGGGCAAGTTTCCTTACTCCACACGCCTAATAATAATCCCTCCAAAACCAAAAACAATAATAAATTGGTCATTTTCAATCCATGACTGTTTGTGGGACATTGCTGTGCGCAATTGGCTGCCGCGTTCGCCCACAAATATACAGTCAATTCACTTTACAGTGTGTTCTGTGAAGCGCTTTGGGACGTCCTTCCGACGTGAAAAGCGCTATATCAAATGCAAGGATTATTATTATTATTATATTACATCTGTCTCAGCTGGTGACACACCCTAATTTTTTCTGAGGCAGCACAAGGAATAGATTCTATTGGGTTTGGTAATGCAGCACAAAATATAGAGTCAATTCACTTTACAGTGAATACAGGTCCTATGAAGCGCTCTGTGACGTCTCGAAGATGTGATAAGGCGCTATATCAAATGCAAGGATTATTATTATCATTATTATAACACATTTCCAGCTCTGCATTGGAGTATCAGCCGTGTGAGTACATGTCCCTTGAACCCACAATCTTCTGACTCAGAGTGCTACCAACCGAGCCAGGCTGACTATCTGTGTGGCACAGTTCCACAGTGGACAGAGAGTTCATCACATTCTCCATCAGTGAGCTCTCTCTCCCAAGTTATTTGGTGATGTGTGAATACCAGTACAGGTTAGGAAGAGTCCCTAATGAGATTTGTCTCCTGCTTTCAGTGCCATGATGTATCTCAGTACTTAACCTCGCTCACTCCAATCTGCATACAAATTAGCATCTACATTTCAGTAGCCCCTTCTAGCTTGGCGATGTAGCTGAGCTCTGGCTGGGCTGAAGTGAGGCAGATGTCAATGGACAGGCTCATTAATCTTGTTGACACCATCTCTTCCTTTGATAAACTAATTACTTTTGTATATCAGGAAATGAAGAGGTTTTATAAAGAGGAACTGATATTCCCCCCCACCCACTCCTACCGCTAATTCTAAGGCTCCTGAGGCGCCCAAATTCCTCCTGTTCTTAACCTACAAAACAATTGTCTTAAAATTTAAGATGGGAGCAAATCGTGGAAATCTCTTAAATTGTGTCTCACTTTGAAAGTTAGTTCTTATTTATAATAACAATAACCCTTGCATTTGATATAGCGCCTTATGTCATTGAGAAGTCTCATAGAGTGCTTCACAGAGTATATTATAAAGTGGATTTTGAAGAGTTTTTTGTGGGCGAAGAACTCTCAAGAACTTCTGAAAAACAGCTTCCAACGTTTTGCCCTGCCCGGGAATCAAACCCAGGTCTTCTCGTTTGCTTGTGAGGCGAGTGCTCTAGCCACTAAGCTACAGGACTCCACATATATTGGGTAATATACCGTCTGTGCCTTTGATTTGAAGGGAATCCATCTAAGTGTGTTTAAAGAGTGCCGTCCATACCTAATGAGATTTGCCCACACAATAGCATTCCTAGAGAAACCATGTGGACCTGGTATTGAATCAATAACAATCACTTCATCAGTCTGGCCACTTACTACTTTGTGGCCATGAATATTTAATTAAAATAATGAAATAGCAACTTAATTCTTTCTAAATTAGCAGATTATTAG